CCCCCCTTTCTTCATAATGCAAAAGCTCCATCAGGTTCCCCAAAGCAGTGCCACTATATGAAAGACATTAATCTTGATTTCTGGTCTTGTTTATGGTGTTAGATTAATGAAAGCCTTATGATGTCAAGCTGCTAGCTAGAGTTTCTCTGTATTGTTATTATTACACCCACATTGCATTTGAATAAACAATTAAATTGATTTCATTTAAGTGAATGTCAAGTATCAGATTGACTGCACTTTGGAGCTATGCACAGCTGGTTTGTAGTGCTATTAAGTGACATTTATCATTTATTATTATTGTTTTTGTGTTTATGTATCTGGATCTTTCCAGTCATTTTCAGTTTACATTTTATCAAAAAAAAAAAAAATAAATCATGAAACAAACATTAAAATGAAATTAACTGACAGCCATTTGAATACACCTCTTCAGTGATAATCATGTTTTCCTTAATTAAAATGCTTTTTGGCTATTTAAAATTCTCTAGGTGTAATTGGTTTGTTGTAGTCCTGCACCTTTTTAATATTTTGCCTATTCCTCCACCATGAAGTATTTGCCATTTTATTAAAAAAACAAAAAAACAAAAAACAAAAAAAAACACCAAGTCTCTTCAAATGTCAAAATCAAATAAATTGACCTTATGATACTTAGTTCAAGCTTAGTTCATTTTCAAAAACAACCAGTATAACCCCAATAAAACACCAGAAAATTCATGATTAAAGTATTAATATTTGTAAAATACTTTTCACTTTTAGAATGTTTAAAAAAAAAAGACTGATATACTTGCATGTATTCAACGTGTCAGGAAAATGTTATTACTTTTGATGGTTACACCATTTTACATTTTCATTAAATCAAAACGTTTGACAAATCTATGAACATTTTAAAATATTACCTTTCTGATAAACTAGCAAATGCATTTAAACTAGATTTACTTATGTCATAGAAATTTTGTCTCCTCCCTAAATTTCCTTTTGTCGTCTTCTCCAAATTTTCAGCAACCTCAACAATTGTTTGTTCAGTTCATGGGCGAGCGGTACCGTTGAAGGAAAAAAAAGTGAATAATTTATGCGTGTACAATCTGTGCTTGCTGACTCGACTCTCTGGCCTGTTTCCCCAATTAGAGAGGGGATGCTTTTAAGCACTTTGGAGGGGGTTGCTAGCGTGTGCCGGCACGTGGCTGTGGTCCTCTTCGCCCAATGCTGGCTCTGGCCTGGTAATGAGAGCAGGGAGAAGGGAAGACTCTGAGTGATCAATTATTCATTTTAGGAAGTCCTCTGCATGCATATCTGTCGCCCCAATATGCATTACATATAAAAAGCACCTGAAGGTCTCCCCACTGCTCCACCAGAGCACAGGAGAGAACATTTTACGTTCCTGCATTATGAAGAAAGCTGCATGTATTAAGAGTTTAATGTGCGTGTGTGTGTGCTTTTTCATTCTGCGTCTTCATATTCAGATCGCCAGGAAGAGACACAAGGTGATAACCACGTTCCGGAGTCCACTGGGTCAAACACGGCCGCCCGCCCAGCTCAAACACATAGCCTTGATGCCTCTGTCCCAGATCAGAAGAGTCCTTGACATCCAAGACACAGAAGGTGAGGGGACCACATGGCATACTGCATCCCACCAAGTGCACTTTTGCATATTTTAGTTTTGTGTTCTGAATTAGCACCCTGGAGAGGGAGGTGAAGTCTGTTTATGTATAAAGTGTGTCACTTCACTGTAGAGCTGGCCAGGATACACAGTAAGAAAATTCTAACATAATTTTAAAGGTATAAGACTGTAAAAATGCTATGGTAAAAACCTGTTAATTATTTGGTTAAAGGGGTCATATGACGATGCTAAAAATAACATTATTTTGTATATTTTGTGAAATGCAATGTGCTTACATGGTTTAAGGTTAAAAAAACACATTATTTTCCACACACCATACATTATTGTTGCTCCTCTCTGCCCCGCCTTTCTGAAACGCGTCGATTTTTACAAAGCTCATCGTTCTGAAAAGCGCGGTGTGCTCTGATTGGCCAGCTATCCAGTGTGTTGTCATTGGCCAAATACCTCAAGCGTGTGACGGAAATGTTACTCCCCTTACCATATCTGGAAACACACAGCGTCTCCACGTCATGGCGGCAGCGGCTACAATGGTATTAGGGATGTAACGATTCACTCAACTCACGATTCAATTCAATTCACGATTTTGATTTCACGACTCGATTTGATTCACGATTTTTTTTAACAAAATGAGATTTAAGACAAATTATAAATTAAATGTGTCCTTTAATTATTGCTTGGACAAAATGCTGCACGTATTCCTGGCAGGTTTTTTATTTATTTATTTTTTTTACAAAATGAGATTTGACAAATTATAAATTAAATGTGTCCTTTAATTATTGCTTGGACAAAATGCTGCACGTTTCTTTGTGAAATTGAAATATAACACTATAATAATATACTAATATAGCACTAGGGATGTGCGCGACGACTAATTTGACTGTCGTTTAAACGAAAGTTTTGTATCCGTCTAGTCTAAAAGCAAGAAACCCCCAAAATATGGTAAGAAAAAAAAACCTCTGTGCGTGCGTGTAGCATAGCCTATATTTGAAATACTTAATCTATGAATCACACTGTCAAATCCCTCAATGAATTCTGCTTGCCGCACACTTGCCTCGCGTTATCATAATTTCATTTTAGGTGGTCGTTAAAAAGAAATAAAAGAAGAGCATACACTCAACGTCGGTCAAAGAGCTGAATGAGATGCAGATTCACTCTCTGCCAGCAGGTGGCGCTGCGTGCGTTTCCTTGTATTCCGCTATAAACAAAGCAGTGCTGCACTTATGAACTTTAATATGCATTATACAGAGGCAAGAGGAAAAGACAAAATACCATCTAAACTTTTCTAAAGACAGTAAGTTCCCCTCAGACATACATTCATATAAACTGAACTGGATGTAAATTGACATTACCAGAATTCCTTTGAAAAAGCATTTGATGGTTTTTCATTGAAATAACCAATTTCCTTTTTTAGTCAGTTTTGTGCATTTGTTACATCTGTTGTTAAAATGAATATTTATTACATGATTTTAGTGTGGTGTGTTATAATGATGGTGTTTTGAATTGATATGCATGATACCGTGTGCACGGATAATAATATTAACCTCAACTTGTGGAAAAGCTACTTGTAATGAGCTCTGATTCATCATGTGGCTTTCTCATTTCCATCTGTGTTTTGGTGGTTGTCTGCAGTTATAAAGGCACAAAACAGATTATTTCAGTAGGTTGTTATTTTAACATTAGATCTGTAAATGAAATATACAGCTTTTTAATGTAAATTTAAGTTTTACATTTTTTTTACAGTAATTTTCATGTTTGTTACAGTGTAGTTTAGAAATTGTATTTTTGTTTAAAACGGCTTCAAAATGACAAGTCTTAAAAATCACAGAAAATTTTACACTTATAGCAATCTATAATTATAAACTGCAATATTTACCTTTACATAGTTTTATTAAAGCATACGGAAATGAGCATTTCCAGGAACATTTTTGAATGAGGATGGAAACATATGATTGAACAAGACTTTGATTTGACTCTTTGAAAACAATTCACAGAAATGAATGAGACTTACAGGTCCAACAGGGTTTTTGTTATTGTCTTAAGCAATTTAATGCTATTAAACCGTATGGCTTACCGCTTTCATGCCAAACAAGGAAATGAAAGAATCACAAAACTAGTCTGATTCCACGGTCTTTAGGAAATTCAATGGCCACATAAAAGCCCATAATATCTTCGCTAGCAATATTCACAGAATTATTTTATATTGCCAGCAGAATCGTTTAGAATATATTGTGCATATTTAATATAGCACTCACCCCTGCTTTACTGGATTTTGATGAGCTAAAGACACAGGAAGGCAATAATTTTTCACACCATAATAGCACATTATTGATGATCACATTCTGAAGCCTGGAAATTTGACTGATTCAGATCTGTGCTTCCACAAGAGCAGCTCCTTGTACTGGAACCCATTTCATGTTTCAAATCAACTAATTTCCCTGTAGTGCACTTGTGATGATCCCATCAAATTGCATTGGATAAAATGAACTTCTGCCCTACATTGTTTTCTACTGAATATTGTTTCACTTGGAAAGACAACACATTCAAGTGTGTTCCTGTGAATGTTGAAACAATCAACATTTGTATAAATAAATATTAATACAATCTTCATTTATATAGGTTTGGTGGATGGTATACATTACATTTTTTACTTTTTTTTTTTTCTTATAAATTCTACCCAAAAAAGTTTTATAACCATGTATAGGCATTTTTTTTTTATGTTTGCATTATATTCTTTACAAAGAAATTTCATTTCATTTGATTACCTTTTTTGCACACAATGTAAAATAAAAAATAACAGAAGATGATATTATAAAACTATTTTTTTTAGTCCCGCTCCCTCAACGTTATATTCCGCACCCACCCGCTCCCGCTATATATTCACTCTTTGTTCACCCACTGTCCGCTTAGAATAATTTTCTTCCCGACCCGACCGTTCCCGCTAAATTTAGATCCCGTTTCCAGAATCTCACATTTAAATTTCCGCTATTTTTTTTTTTTTTAACCTTTGGATTTAGTTTTAGGCCTTAGTTTCAGGTCACATCCCTGACCTCACACCTCACGTTTATCTCTCTCTCAGAGTGTCAGAACGCCTTTGCCCTGGTGGTACATCCTCCTACAGAACAGGAGAACCTGTTATTCAGTTTCCAGCTGACGGCCGAAGACACGCTCAAATCTGCCTGGCTCAAAACTCTCTGTCGTCAAGTGGCCAACACGATTTGCCGAGCTGATGCGGTGAGCGGACACACACACACACACACACACACACACATAGAAACATGGCCACTTCCTCCTCAGATCATCCCCCTCAGGTCTGGAACAGAACTCAATTATTTATTTTATTAGCTCTGCTTTCTTTTTATTGTGGCTATAAATTAGGAGGTTTGTGTGGGCCTTTTGGTGTTGGCTAATCCTATTAGATGCTCCTGTGTGGTTAAACTGGGAGGCAGATTAATGTAATTAAGAGTGGAATTGTACTTGAACTTTACACTTCAGACGCAGACGTCTTTATCTTAATGCTGCAGAACTGCAGGTCCCGCCCAGGCCTTCCGAAACGGCACATGTAATTGGCGCGGGCAGACAGATGCATGTAGTTCCCTTTATAATTAAACATCCAGACCAAACCCTGCGGCTAAATGCATTTTTGGCCTGGCCTGCAGTTCTCCCACCGGCCATGAGGTGGCCACCTACCCACACGTCACCGGCGTGAAATGCCAGCCACACTCTCCCTCTGCTCCTGTGAATATCAAGAAGCCCCAGCTGTTTGGAAGGCTGAACAGTGACGCTTCTCTTTGCATTTTGACAGGCCAGCAGTATCGCTGTGTATTTATTTAATTTTCCCGTGTCTTGAACAGGAAGATCTCATTCAGAGCACCGATCCTGACTCCGTCCAAGTGAGCACAAAGGACATGGACAGCACGCTCAGCCGAGCGTCCAGGGCCATCAAAAAAACGTCAAAGAAGGTAGGGAGAGGAACTTGAAAGTATTGAAAATGACACCATGCGCATACAGATTTGGTCTTGATGTCAACGTTCAGGACACTTTCTTGAAAATGACATCATAAAGTAGAAAACGCAGGCAAATTGTGCACGTTTGTGTTTTAGGTCACGAGAGCATTTTCTTTCACTAAAACCCCCAAGCGTGTTCTCCAGAGGGCCTTTTTAGCCAATGGTACCCCGGATGACAAGAGTCCTGGCCCAGATGCCGATCACATGGGCCGAATGTCCAGCAGCTCTACACTGGCTGTGAGTCTACACACTCACACACATTTTCAGCACACAACAATACGTGATGTGTCTATGTGCTCCTTCAAAGGCAGTTCACTCTTAGAATAAACGGAAAAAGTCTGAGTTTGACAGCTGCACAAGTGACATGAGGGTGAGAATTGTTTATTTATTTTTTGGTTTCTTTTTTTATTTGTGTATTTCTGCTGGCGTGGAGCAGAGTGGGCATTTTCAATTAACTTTTTATAGAAATATTACATGAGCAAGAGTGCTGTTCTGAATAGCAGCACGGCTGTGATTGGACAACATTTTTTTAAGTAAAATACAGTATTGCTATTCTGATCTAATATATAGCTGTTTGATTTTAATGTAATTTATTATGTATAAAATGAAATATGAATAAAGGATATGTGGAAAATTGGAAAATATAAACTGGTACAAAATAACAAATGGTTTTGAAATGTGACTGGTATCACTGGTATTGACTACTGAAATAAAATGGTGTTAATACATTACCATTCAAAAGCTTGGGATAAGTAACATTTTTTTTTTTTTTATGTTTTTGACCAAGGCTGCATTTATTTGATTAAAAAATACAGTAAAAACAGTAACAGTATGAACATTTATTACAATGTAAAATAACTGTTTTCTGTTTTAATACATTTAGAAAAAGTAATTTATTCCTGTTATGGCAAAGCTGTATTTAGGGCAGCCATTACTCCAGTCTTCAGAGTCACATGATCCTTCATCATTCTAATATCTGATTGGGTGCTCAAGAAATATTTAGTATTATCAATGTTGAAAACAGCTGTGTTGCTTGAATATTCAAAAGAACAGAATTTAGTTACAATGTGAATGTCTTTTCTGGCACATTTGATCGATTTAATGCATCCTTGCCAAGAAAAGTATTAATTTCTTCTTCTTTTTTTTTTTTTTTTACTTTTTAAGGATAGTATGTGTATGTGTACACTGTGAGACCAGTGAATACCAGTGCCAGACACATGACCCAAAAGCTTATTGGCAGGTGCTTTTCTTCTGTCGAACAAAGGAAAAAAAACATTTTGATTTCTCTGAAAAGAAAAGAAAAATCATTCAGTCATGTGTGAATAGGTCCATAGGGAGTGCATTGTTTCCACTGAAAATCTTTTTTGTGGCAAATTTTCTCTTTTGGTGTGAATAAGCCTTGAATCCAAAATATTAAACTACAATGATCCGTCTTTTATTCAGGCACCTTCCCCCCCCCAGAGAACGATGACTATTCATTGAACTGTAAAGAATAATTTTGCCACATAAATTGTTCAAATATTGCGTACTTGTGTCATTCACTCACATCACACTTGGTCTAAACAGGCATTTGCATGAATTCGAATCTCTCATACAGTCAAATAGCACATTTTAATCTCATTTTCTACAGTTGAACCTTTGCAGTATTACTTGCCAATTCAGTTGGCTTGCATTTCCCTCTCAGAGGACTCGCAGTTTGCCTAGGTCAGTCACTCATGCTTTTCTTTCCTTCAGCATCAGGGGTCTGTTTGAAAAGGGATATTTTGACCTTTTTCGTTAAGGTGATTCATGCACTTCTAAATATTTGAGAAATCCCTACATTCGTAACGAGATCACGCTCCAATTTTTCACTTCCTCTTTCAATTTTAAAGTGAATGATTCTGAGGGCGTGTGATGTAGAGGCGGTGCAAGATGAGGTTAACGCGCTCTCTCTCTTTTTCTCTTCCCTCCGTGTGAGTGTAGATGTCTCGTTCTGTCTCTACGTTCAGTCTGACGGGCTCTATTAAAAGCGCAGTGGTTCAGCGGTCAAACTCTCTGGACCATGCTCCGCGGCCCAGGGTCCCGGTGTGTGTCCGCACTCCGTGCAGTCCAGAGAGGGCTGATGAACCTGCGGCTCCCAAAACCCAGCTCAGACCATCCATCCTGTCTCTCCCAGCGGCCCTGCCCGTAGCTCCGTGCCGAGAGCTGCTGGCGCCCCCAGAGCCGCAGCGCAGGTTCCCTGGGTCCCAGCGGCAGGAGACCCTCCTGTAGGACTCTTAAATGTGAGCACAGCAGTTCTGCCTCTTGACCCACTGTGACTTCCTAACTCACATCTGGGGACGGTGTTGACACTAATTCACTACCGCACGGATGGGCTATGGTGGCACTCATTTATAGATAATCTGAGGACTGGTTCAAAAGGGAGAATTCACTTAAAAATGAAAATATTGTCATTTACTCACCCTCATGCTGGCCTCTTTCAGAATCACTTTAAGGAAGTTGAGAAATTTACTAGTACTACATAGGGCTGTGCAAATAATCGAATGCGATTTTCATGCGCATCTCGTCAGTAAAGCCGGTTCTGTGATTAGTAGTAAATCTCCAGCACATGCTTTCAGATGGAGCGGCATTTACTACACAGAGCCGTAGTTCACTGACAAGCTACGCAATATTGCGTTCATAATCGGCAATGAGTCGCCTGCGATTTAGAATGCGATTTTGTGTAGCTTGTGTAGTAAATGCCGCTCCATCTGAAAGCATGTGCTGGAGATTTACTACTAATCACAGAACCGGCTTTACTGACGAGATGCGCATGAAAATCGCATTCGATTATTTGCACAGCCCTAGTACTACACTATATTTCCCATCATGAATGTGAATGGGGATCCATCAAATGACAAATAAAGCTCCATAATAGTAACGCAACTGAAATTTTGACAACCTATCCTCACCCAACTTATACGCAGAAGCTATAATCTCATTTAAATTTTGCATATTCACACTTGCCACGGTGTGATTGATGAATGTGCGTCATGTGGCCACATCATATCAATGTCATGTCTTCAAATTCGACTTGCTTTATTTTAGAATTATTTGTGTAAAATTTAGTATTAGTATTTATTTAAAGTAATTTCAACTTTTAGTAGTATTTATTAATGTTATGAATTAGCTTTTAATTTTAGTTTAAGTTTTAATAACTTTTATGTGGTTTTCTTTTTAATTATTTCTATTTAGCTATTTTTTTATTTTAGTGTTTTAAGTATTTAAACAAAAAATGGTCACACTTTATTTTAAGGTTTAATTCTCAATATTAACAAACCATTAACTACGACCTTTGCCGCAATAAACTCTTAATTTGCTGCATATTAATAATTAGTAAGGTAGTTGTTAAGTTTAGGTATTGGGTAGGATTAAGGATGTAGAATATGGTCATGAAGAATGTGCTTTTATAAGTACTAATAAACAACCTATACATTATTAATAGGCATACTAATAAGCAACTAGTTAAAAGTGAGAATTGGTCCCTATACTAAAGTGTTACCCAAAAAATAATGTTGCTTTGGCAACTAACTGAAAATAAGTTTAATTTTTCATCAAAGAATTAAATTTTATTTCATTTCAGCTTTGTTTAAATTAATTAAATCAATTTGTAATAGTTTTAGTTAACAGCAACTCTGGGATTCGGACAGCAGAGGAAAACTGAAAATGACTTAAATTTTGCTCTGTTTCATGCTCAGAACTATTATATTACTTAATTTTAACTGTGTAGCATAAGTCATATGAAACGGTTTATAATACTGAAACGGTCCATTTCAAATTATGTATTTTTTATAATACTTCATTTCATTCCCCATTCACTTTCATTATATGGAAAAGAGTGTTCAAAATTTGGCTTTTTGTGTTCCATGGAAGAAAAAAAAACATCATTTATGCTTGACATGAGTGTAAAATATATTTTTTTTAATTTCAGTTCACTCAGGAAAAAAACAAAAACATTGTCATCCAACTTATTCTGATAAAAAGAAGATTTCCATTTGAATAAAAACTATATTTTTCAATTTGCTCCAACAAAAAAGTGTGACGTAATATGACTTATTATCCTTATTTTTGGTGAAGCATCCCTTTAACACTGACATCAGATCATTTATGTCGGGTGAAATATGAGATCTCCGATGCTTTTATAGTTCTATAGTTCTCAGTATAATGACGGCTCTTATATAAAGGCGAAATTATTACTGTGGTGTACGATGTGATTTCTTTTTTCCATAAATCTCATATTTGTACTGTGGTACTGGCATGATCTATGGGCGTGACAGCCGTAAATTGGCTGATGACCGTGATTTAATCTCCTCCTATTTCTAATTTGATCCCGTTAACTATCATCCGTATACTGGAGTGTGTGCGTTTCGTAGCGTTTTAATGTTTCGTTTAGCACACTCGAGGCAATTCATCAAATGGCATCATTGGCCGCCTTTATTGATCTCAAGGCCTCCAATGGCAGTACAAGGCCACCTTAACTCTTATTAAGCAATGCTAAGTAATAGGATTATTGGTGTGCGTGTGTGAAAGCAGCCTGGTGCTTGTTACATCTGTGAGCAAGAGTAAAACAAGAGAAATTGGGTTTGTGGTTTGCTAACCACAACCTTTTCACCCTCACATCTCTGTTTAAATGGAAGAATCCAGTATTATCCTCTGCATGGAGGCTAACACTCTTTTGGGTAACGTTGTCGGTTCTGAATAGTGAACACTTAACAAGAGTCAACCGTGTGCATTCTTACCTCAGCGAGCTTGTAAAGTCAATATCATTAACATGGATTTCTCTCCTCGTCTCTTCTCACCCCTTTTGAATAAACTCCCACAAAAACCTGAGAACCTCAGGGTTCTGCGAGAACACTTACATTTAAAAAAAGGCTCAACACTGACTTTTGGTCAAAAGACCGAAAATCTCAACGCTGTTTAATGATTAGTTCCTAACCTAAACCCATGAAGATGAGCTGTTGTTATGTAGACTTCAGCAGGGAAGGGCGGTGTGACACTAAATATATTCTCTTTAATTTACAGATAAATTGTTGGTTGGAAAAAGATTTTGATAATGAAGACTAGATGTAAATGGTGCATCTTCATGACTGTTAAATAATGAGAGTAAACAGTTGATGGAAATGTAAAAAAAGTACCGGATATTAATGCACTTACAATGTAGAATTTTTATGCAAATGATCTAAAAAAAAATGTAAATAAACTTCTTAAAAAAAAAAAAATCTTAATTATTCCACAATGTTTACAGGTTATATATGCATGTAAATTTCATAGGTTAATATTATACTTTTTTCAAAGATTTGCCCCATGTTTTTGTGCGAACTGTTTATTGGCAACATATTGCATGCCAATATAAATGACACTAACTTTAGTTGTATTGAATATTTTGTAATTTATTCACTTTAAAAGATGTTTTTCTCTAAAAAAATTAAAGAAACACTGATTCCATGTGATTGTAGAAATGTCATCTTGACACATTATTATAGAATTCAGTTCATGTGCAAATTCAATATAAATTCAGTTCATCTTGTTCAATTCTTGGTTGCTCAACTAATCAGAATTTAGGGTTAGATTGATCTGTTTTTATAGTGTTAGTTTTACTGTTTTGAGTCGTTTTTTAATTCGTGTTACATAATGTGAAATTGTTTTCATAGTAATGCCAGATTAAATTTTTATGAATAAGCTTTTAGATTGCATCCAAGCTTTAAAAAATGAAATTTAAATATCTTACATTTGTAAATTAATTAATTTGCTGTTATGTCCAATATAGGCATTAGCATTTGGGTTTTTAATGTATAAACTTTTTTTAATTATATCATGGTATGATGATGATGTGTTATAAAATCACTCGCACCATGATTTTTTTTTTTAAGCTCATACCGCCCACTCCTAGACTCCAGTATGAATAGTTTGTAAAAAGAGCCCTAAGTGCATTACAGCTTTAACCAACACTTTAACAATGCATTGAATCTTTAACAAGGTCTTCTGGGTATGAAAATGCACCAAAGGTTAACACATTCACCATTTACAATTCAGCAACTCTTGAGTCTTAAACTAATTACAGACGGGAATGGAAATAACCTAGAATAACCCTAAAACTCTCTTTTCATCGCTATATTACATTTTTATTTTCCATTTTCTTTTTCCAGGCTGTTCATTCCCCATCCATGCTCAACCTGTCCTCCGCCTTTGAGAGGAAGTATCATACCTTCAGCCGATCCACAACTCACCTGTTCTGAACTTTGCATCCAGTGTTGCAATTAATTTCCACACTATGGTACCACGTCCGGCCGACGGCTCCAGGCCGAGCCCGCCACCTGGGTATAATTTACAGGTCCAGAACCCACCAAATGAAGGACGGCTTGTTGATGTCAATGTCTGGGCACATTTAATTAACATTTAAAGAGACGTTTTCACACAATTATTAACCACTGAAAGTATTTCTTAATGTTTTACAAGATAGGCCTTAATCTAAACTAATCTAGTTTTCAGCTTTTATAAAGCTATGCACATCTAGCTGTTGCATTTAAATGGAAATGCAAAGAGCTGCCATAGTAAGGTCTGGTTTAAACAAGCGGCCTTTCGTTTTTGCATACTTTTAGAAGTGGTTTTTATTGTTGATTTAGGGTGTTGGTTTCTACAAGTCAAAAGAGAGTTGTTGCGGTCAGCCTGCCATATTTATTCTCCAGGATCACTTCTATATGTAAATCTTTCCTTGTCTATATTTATGTGTAAATATTGTATTTTTCCTCTTTGTGATCGTCATACTAATAATAGTTGGTCTCCGTTGCTTGTACCGTTTTGTAGTCACTGCACTTATGTCACAAATGTATTCATGTTTCACGTTTGTCTGTAAAAGGGTTTCTTATAATGTCTTTGCCTACTGCAGATTTGTTTGGAGTGGGTGGTTTTATGTTATTGGTTTGACTACTTTTGAAGGTGACTTCATTTATTCTTGATCAATAAAAGAAGCATAAAGCCTTCGTGTTCTTGTCTGTTTGAAAACAGCTATTTGTATGAGGAATCTGTTTGAAATGGATCTCAAGTGAGAATGTAACACTGCAAAAGATTTTCCTATCTTGTGCTATAAACTAAAGCCCAAACTATACATTCCACTGAGTCTGAAATCGGCACATTTCACTGATGTGACATCCAAGCCAATTTTTTCCGTCTGTGTGGATGACAGAGCATGTACGAGTGAGTCCGCTAGGTAGTGCACATTATGAAAGCGTTCATCCACAATCGCTGTCAATGGAGTACTTTGTGAGCAAGACACAAAGGGATAGTTCACCCAAAAATGAAAATTGTCATAATTTACTCACCCTCATGTCGTTCCAAACCTGTAGTTTCTTTCTTATGTTGAACATAGATGATATTTTGAAGAATGCTGGTAATCAAACAGTTGATGACCCCCATCAACTGTAATTCTTTCCCTACTATGGAAGTCAACGGGGACCAACAACTGTTTGGTTCTTCAAAATATATTATTTTGTGTTCAACATAAGAAAGAAACGTATACAGGTTTGGAACGACATGAGGGTGAGTAAATGATGACAAAATGTTAATTTTTGGGTGAACTATTCCTTAAAGGCCAAAGAATATGTATTTTCCATATGCTATGTTTCCATCTGGCTGTGCATGTACAATTAATGTGGAACTATGCTTATGACATTTGTTACGTGCACTGTACGCATAACCTGGTGTATGCATAAAAATCGGAGCGTGCTTTGGGCTTAAGGCCATTTACAGTTGTTTTAATGTGCAGTCACATTTAATGTTGCTCTGCATAGTTTCGAAGGTAAATTCCATTTATTTCATAGGGAGTTTTGTGTGAGTTCCCTCTGCAAATTTGGCTGATGTTCAAGTTGGTCTTGTGAATTCGGCATGCTGACCTGCTTGGTTTGAAGGTGACTTCTTTGTTAGCAGTACTTAATACGCTATCGACAACAGAAAATGGAGCATTTTTTTTTGCCCTGCAAAATATTGCCTACATTTAGGCCCAGCACACCTTGAGACTCAATGGAACCTCCTTATATCCTAAACCAAAATATAAGTCCTATATATTCTATCCATGCTTCACCCAAAAATTATCTCGTCATGTACTCATTAGTTCTCTCATTATGCATTAATTCATCTCATTTACTCTCCCTCATGTCGATCCAAACCCATAGAATGATTGTTCCATGCTTTTCTACCAGAAAAACAATGGAGAGTTGGATCGCAGTTAACAGAAATGATAGTTCAATGTATTTGGATCTGATCCCAGAGCCATTGTGGGTGATGTGAGTCACATCTGAAAGTCTCTTTGGTCTTTAAACGTGTCATTGACAGAAGCTTCTCAAACATATCTGTGATGCAGCCAAACAGCTGTTTAACCGAAGGAGCTGATGGCATCACTTGCACATTTACTTATGGACTTCTGAAGAAACTCATGAAGACCAATATGGATCTTTGAATCTAAAAGCATCAAATAGACTAATCATTATGCATTGACACTTTTTCAACCCATCAAACAATAGATTTTGAGGCTTAAGCAGCTCTGTCCAGTCTTAAGCAAATCCGTTGTGCCACTCAAGAGTGCTCATTATTGCACCAGGAGGCCTTACTTCTTGTCTTTTCTTCCTTCAAAGCAGAATACGGGTTTTTATTGTATTAACGCAGCTGCGCTCCGGCACTACAGCCAGCTTCTGTTTCCTTTAACTAAAGGCGTAGTTGCTGAATAGTATCCTGGATACTGAACTAACACTGAAGCCCTGAGGCAAAGTAAGGTCAGGAATATCAAAACAGGAAAAACAGAGGTCTTGATTTTCTTGTTATAGTTGCCTCTCATCTACTTCAAAGCCAATGAATGCCTCATTTATCATTGAATAGGCAAGTACAGGCCCTTTGTTCTCGGTTGCGTCCTACTCAGGGAGCGTTTCATAGAGAAGACCAGGTCACTGCCCTGAGCTTGGCTCTCTCCTCAAAGCAAGTTTGAAAGAGCATTTAATACAGCAAAGATGACCTGACCTGAGGTGCAAACAAAGATGTAAAGGAGCATTTGTTTTGTATTTTGTTTCTGTCCGGATTTGTTCTGGATTATTAGCTCGCTCTGTTTTACCAGTCATCAGGAGCCAAGACAAATTTTTGCTCGAATATCCAAGCTAAGACAGGATGACTTTAGGATACAAGCTAACAAGGCCAACAGCGTCTACACAGAGCAAATGTTACATCATTCTAGTGAGGAGCAAAGGCTCAGGATCTCCACTCGCATATGGCAAAATGAAATGTGTCTGATACAAACTCCGATGTCAGAATTTCATAATTTCACACTTATCAAAGCTACCCAGAGAACAGAAAAATGCTAGCAGTTGTTGTCGAATAACCGCTACTGGAAACTTGTAACCTAAGACTCATTTACACCTGCGTTTTGGTGAGCAAATCGTACAACACTTGACCACACTAAAAGCCAGTTACAATTGCATCCAAGAAGATTTCGAATCCCTGAAGCCACAGATCATTTCACATTGGCCAAAGATAATGAAGGCCAATGGGACTCTTCTAGGAGGGTGTTTAGGACATCAGACAAGTTAGTTACCAAGTTAGTTCCTTATGTTCCTCTCCTTTGCATGCTGTGTGGAATCAATAAAGACGAAAAGCACAGCTAAATGATGCATTAGTGCACAGATGCTTGTGAAGGCCAAGTACAAATAGCTATAAGAAGCTGTTGGTTTGTTTGTAGTAGGACAGAGGATTGTGTAAGTAACCTCTCATTAGAATGCTGCGAGTTTTCCCCTACAAAAAGACTAATGATTTATTGATGATGTATCCCAATGAGCTCCAGGCTTCCAGTTGCAGATCTCATCACAGGTGAGTCTCTAGTGATAATGGGAAAAGAATGAAAGGCAATGTAGAGACTTCTCTCTTAGCAAGAGAATACTTCAAAGTCATCTGTTAGAATTTCTGTTCATTTTGGGCTCTGCTGGTGCAGGACCTTACGAAAATCTAGTTGCATGCATGTTGGTTTCATATGAGCAAGTTGACGACATCTGCAACCATAGTTATGTGCATGATTTTGCTAAACTAACACAATACAACAAGATGAAGGCATTGGCCAACACAAAACAAAAAAAGTACCACAGTTTCAATACGGTTAAAACATGTAAAAACACAAACCAAGATATTCTCACCTGTGAAAAATGTTCCCATTTCATCGGGAATCATAATCTTGGCGGCTTTTACACACAGAGGCTGTGCAATGTTGTGGCATCTTGGAAAACTCATTGATTTTTACTGTAAGCAACCGTTGCAAGATGGACACGTCAACGTGTCTGGAGCAGTCAAATGTGGAATCGAATCTGCATTTACAAATCTATGGTTTGGACTACATGATTTTGCACTAAAAAGTAGGCTATTATTAACTTTCTCCGCCATTGACGAGTTATCACGTCTTTTACAAGAAAACGCTTCCCCGCCAAAGACGAGTTTTTACGGCTTTTCGTGTTTTCACTGTTACACACTCGGGGGCGCTATTACGCATCTTCTGAACGAGTACAAAACCTCCCGAACAAAAACACACGTGAACAGGGTGGAGAAACTAGCGATCTCTTATGTAAACAGATGCATATGAAAAATAATGCGATCATCAGCAATGGCAGCATATAAATGAAAACTGCATAATGTTACAGAGTAAAATGTTGATCCAGGAAGTGGTATATGTCTGTGCAAGCTTTGGAGGTATTGATGGAAGCGATTTACTGGATTTATGCTTTGATAATCGTACTGAATATTACCCAGATGTAGTTTTTGATAAAAATTTGATTTTCTCACCTTTTTGCTCAAAATAATGATTTTTTTATGAAACCTGCCTATATTCAAGTGTTGATTAAAAAAAAGAATGCTTCTAGCTAGAATAAAACTGATTTTTTTTTTGTTTAAAAGTAGAGGCTCTGATCTTTAATTTGGTGTATTGCATATTCAAATATTCATACAGCAAAATATACTGGAGGCCATCAAATTTGAGTGAAAATCATCAAAATCGGTGGCTGGCAAATTAAAAAAAAAAACGCTGGCGGGGAAAGAGTTAATAATCTTACATATAAAAAGTAAAATGTCATATTATTTTTCATTTAAATATTAAATGGGTAAATCGAAATGACCAATGAAAATTTTATGGAAATATGGACTTGACAAATGGTGTAGTTACAGTATCTAACCAGCAGGGGCTAACTGATCCGTGCTAACCAGCCAAATTTTGACACGTCGGGTTGGGCCAAGGTGCCAACATCTATCTTCCTTTTGCTGATTAGTGCCCCCATTCCTCACTGTTTCTCCACCAGTCCTTTCTTTGCTTTAACTGCTTGTGCAGGAATTCCGTTGAAGTTTTCCTTATGTTCAAAGGACTCTGATTATTCCCAAAATGAGCGCGCACCGCGTTAACTCTCGCAAGGCAGCGATAATGACTGTAGCCCAAAACGGCTTTCCTCTGAAATTCAGACGGCACTTGATATTTCAGAGAATGAGTTTGTTCGGTCTTCGGGAGACAAAATCAGAGCGCGCCTCATAAACGTGTCCAATTAAATATATTTTCGGAATCTTCCTCCTCGTCTAACGAGCATTAAAAACGTAACCTTGAAAATTCCGTCAGCATCATAAAGATGTAACACGCTGCCTCTGGAGAGTGACTATTAAATAAATTCTTTTGATATCCGGAGTACAGACAGCTACTACCCAGCTATGGCAGCTCGCTGCGTGTCATGTGCGATATGCACACGCAAAACCTTTGTACCGCCATTTCCATCCACTCTTTTGGCATAGAGCATTGATAATTTGACGGCGCTGGCGCAGTCTGAGACAATTTAAGTAACAGCCACCCTGCGCCTTCTTTCAGATTAGAGAGACGCCTGTTTATGTCTTCTGAATCTCCTGTGGGTGTATTCAAAGATGCTACTTCGAGACTCGGTGAAGAAACTCCAGCAGAGGATTCAAACTCGTCCCTTTTGTTTGGGGAAATAAT